CTCTCTGAAGAGGTGAAGAAGGAACTTGAATGTTTTGATTTCTCTTAAGCCACCAGAAAACATCAACTTATCTTCTTCTTAGCCGCCATGTATTAGGTACAGTTTTGGATGGAGTTGTGGAAAAGAGAAGCTAAAATTTGGAAAGCCTGGTGTCACCTTATATTATTTTGTTTTATAGTTTGTTTTGTCAGAAACTCTAAGAACAACTTACGATTTACTTTTCATTTGTGTTTTGTTTTAGCAGATACATTGAAAGACTAATTTTATGCAAATTCAATATTAGACAAGCGTACAACAGACGAATCTCTAATTCAAAGGTAAAATTGTATAAGAGCATCCATGTCTGAGGTCACATGGTATATGGCTCAGATGAGCATTCCCTATATGGTATATTATATCATATATATTAACAGATAAGCAATGCTCTAGCGGGAGCCGACATAAAAGGTCAAGTTTATGATAGTTTCTAGATATGTAGATTGAGAAATTATCATTAAACGAAGATTTTATATGCACTTCAAAGGCCATTGCGTGTAGGTTCTACTTTATTTTTAGTGTGCTATATGTTTTTTCTAAGCGGCAACTTTGATTGTTCAATCCTGTATTCCTACCCATAGGAGAATACATATGTTAGTTTCATTTAGAAATTTTGACCTATCAAAACATATCTGGCTTTTTTGGTGTATATTGTATTTTTAAATTGTAGGAAGCAACACCACCATCTTTCTCCTCTGTCTCTCAAACGCACACATACACATGCACATACACAAAATGTACATACAGACTAACAAATAGAAAGTTGGGTTGGGGGTTTGACAAATTAGGATAGGTCTCTTGGTTTAGGTTTGACTCTTTTTAATCAATCGTGCTGCCTTGGATTCATTACACTTTTTAATCTTCTGTTAATGTTTGTTAAGTTTTCTTTACTTTTTTCACACATGGTTTATTCGTTCAGTTTTCTTTGCTTTTTTTCTTCTAGTTTCAAATGCAAGAAAGGATTAGTTTCTAATGTTATATTTTTATGGTTCAAAAAGTATATAGATGTCACAGTTGATCAATCGTCGTAGGAGTGTGACCAATGCGCCTCCCGCATTATCAGCATCAACTGCTCCAGCCGTGAGACGGGTGCCTCCTCTTCCAGATTGATCACAGGAAAGGTCAATGCCGTGAAGGAGGAAGTGACAACCCTAAAAGGTTAACTTGCAGCCCAAGACGAGCAGATAAAGGCCCAGAGCGAGCAAATAAGGGCCCAGAGCGAGCAAATAAAGGCCGAGAATGCACAGATGAGGGCCCAGGGCAACCAGATGAGTATGATTGTATAGGCCTTAGCGATGTCCGGTCTCCAAATCCAGCTGCTAGCACCTGATCTTGCTCCATCTTCGACCTCCCAGCCACTTTGCCCAACCGATACTGAGTAGTCTGATGTATCAAACCTAGAAGACTACTTATTGTAGTTTTTTAGTTTTTTCTTTTTTTGTTTGGACATCTTGTACGTACATTTTCATATAGTTTATAATTAAATACTTTTTCTTGGTTTATTATTTATTGTTTAGAATTGAATTATAATATTTATTAAAAATTAAATCAAAAATATTTTTGTCAAAAAAAAAAAAAAAAAAAAAAGAGTTTGCGAGACGAAGAAGTTCCATAGGTCATGCAAAGTGTCTTTGCGTGACGTAGGAAAATATTTTTGGGTTCCAAAAGCTTAAAATGCAACCTGTCAAAAGCACTACTTATGTGCTTCTTGTAAGAAGCTTCAAGTGTTTTTTTTTTTTTTTTTCAGAATTCATTTACATTTTTACTAAAGATTGATTCTAAAAACGCTTTTATTTATTTTAAAAACACTTTCAAACAAGACAACATTCTAATCATAATTTCTTTTGCATTGATGGTATATATATGGTTTACAAACCACTGATAAGATTTATTATATATTCATGACGGTCGAACCAACAATATAATATATTAGTTGTTAAATTATCATTATGCTATTCAAATCAACAATAGCAACACAAAATTTTCAAGGCAAAAGAATACCCTATTGATCATGTATTCTGCACGATCATGTAGCAGAATCACAACAATCCATCTAAATTTGATGCGGATCAGCAATTGGTTATGATCTTATGGATTCAAATATCTCGATTGAGAAAAAAAAAAATGTGGGACACAAAAACATGAAGGGAAGGGGTCCATCGATCACAAACAGGAGGTAGAGAGCTTAATTAAAATTAATGTGGATTATTTGACATACGTAAGGATCATCAACATATGGTCAAGTGCTATTGTCAAAGTCAAACAAAGCAAAGAATATGTCCCTTTTTTTAGAAGACTTATTTTATTTCTCTTTTTCTTCCTAATATTAAGGTATTAACTTCATTTAATCTTAATTTTCATTTCATTCATCATTATATATTGTTACGAAAATTTACGTAAATTATATAATATATTTTGATAAAAAAAAAGTTATTTATTATTTTTTGATATTTTCATTGGGTAATACATTTAGGCACATCACTTCAATATAATACATTTTAATACATACATTTTGATACATACATTTAAGTGTATCAAGTCATTATAATATATTTTGGAACAAACATTTAGGTACATCAATTCATTTTAATGTATTTTTGGTACACTGATGAATTCAAATATGCTTCTTATGTGTCACTATTTTCTTTATTGAAGTTTTTCTCATTTTAGGTATATTTATAAGGATATAACTGAAGGAAGTTAAACAAAATTAATAAATCAAAATGTGTATATTAATAAATTTAAATATTTAAAGAGATTAATATTATACAGATTAAATATTAAAACAAACACAGAACAGAATATGGATTTGAATTGAAGTACACATCAAATGACTAAAATCAATATTATCTAACACCAGATTTTAATAAAATTTCAATATTTTCAAAGGATTAAAGTTCAAAAATCTTGTTCTTCTTTCTCTCTACAGTAAACTTGGTTTCATGTGTTTATATAAAAGCGACGTCATACTCAAACAACATTCCTGCTCCGGTGCGGGACTGTCCATACAGAATTGTACGATTAACAATCTGTTCCTTGAACCTAAAACACACAGTGCATTAGGGTAAGTGATGGAATAAGAATTTTATTGCAATGGTGCAACAAAATAGTTCCCAGAAATTGGTTATCTTACTTCCATTTGTAATTTTCCCTGAAAAAAAAATCTTAGTTTTCTCAATATAAAATAAAGTAAAACAATCATAATTAAATATTTTAGGGCTCCCAAATATGCGTTTGACACATATATATAAAAAAAAAGAGTTTCAAAATTGGTGTCCCCCAATCCTAAAGGCTAGTTAGTGTCAAATATAACATTGACGTACGTTTGAGCTCGCTTCAAAATATTTTCTCATAATTCAAACCGTTTATTTTTAGATCTTCATTCAAACATCATTCTTACAAAAATGTGACTTCTGGTAAGGCCTTCTGTTACACTTTCTAATTCTGAGGTTTGCTCTCCCGAGCAATTGGGTTGTGCGCATGAACTGCACAGATCCTGTATTAACAACGTATCCCTGCCATATTGATAATATATAGATAATGATCCTCATTACACTGTCAATATGATGAAGATACGTCGTCAATACTCTATCTACTCGGGGGTCATGCGCAAACTATGCACACAACCCAGGGTCACAGATAAGCATTTTCATTCTAATTTCTGTAAGGCACTGGAGGGACTCCGGGACTGGCGGAATACTGACGTCAGATTGAACTCGGGCATTTTAGCATTTAGAAAACTGCTTTTGAAAAAAAAAAACAGTATTAGAGTGTTTGGTAAACTTTTATGTAAAACAGATGTGAAAAAAAGCCGGTTTTTCAAAGCTGGGTTTTGCAGCTTCTTGTTTTTGGTTTTTTTTCATCCAAAACTGTGAAAAAAAACTAAAACTGAGTGTTTACCAAACACGAAAACAGCTCCCAGCTTTTTTTTATAGCAGCTTTTTTCAAATCACCTCAGTACCAAACCAGGTCTAAGCGTAAGGTGAGTGACCAAGCTAGCCGAGCATACTGAAATAATCTGAAGAATCCTGGAGTAATTAATTAAGGTTTGTCTTTGGCTCGTAAAGAAATGTAGCATACCCGTACAAATGTTCCGTTTGTAGCCATAGAATTTGGTGGCTTTAAAAAGAGCCTCGTTGATGGAAACAAAACATGCTGGATTGACCATTCGCGCTGAGCCCATGCATTTTCTGCCTCTGCAACTAGTTCGTGCTCAATTTCATTTTCTGTCATGAGGTCGTCATCTCCTGTAAACACCAAAAATCACTTCAATGTACTTCAGAGAAATAACCGGTGATGTGCTGTATGTGGGGGAAGGGGCACAAGAAATGACATCCTTGTTCCCAGCAGCAATGACAGTGGAACATAAGCCCGGATCTCGCTCAAACATGATGTTTTCAAACTTATTCTATCGAGTACTCCGTTAAAAACTTTTTAACGTGTCAGGTCGTTATCTGGTCATCTGTCAGAACCAAATAGGATATTTTTAACTAGATATATACAATTAGGCATGTCAATTTTTGCATGATCCCGTTAACCGTACACAAAACGACACTATTAACAAATCGGGTGATTATTGGTTCACTTGTTAAGATAACGGGTAAGCGACACTGTTAACAAATCGGGTGATTATTGGTTCACTTGTTAAGATAACAAGTATGACACTAAAACGACAAACACGACCCAAATAAAACAACAAACACAATCCGTTTGCCAAGCCTACTCTCCAAAGTGTTTAGAAGCGAATATGGAAGGGCCAAAAGAAACAAGCCTACTCTCCAAAGTGTTTAGAAGCGAATATGGAAGGGCCAAAATTCTATTGGAAATGCTTATCTAGAAAGTACTTTTGCTTAAGCACTTTTATTAGCAATACATGAAAGTTACTTGGCTTTTGGTTAACTGAAAGTGCATTAGTGCTTTTAGAAGACAGACTATCAAAGTAGCCTTTTCATACTAAAATTTAGTCAGGGGCCGCGCGAACGCAGGCCCCCGCTGACACAAATTACGACATTGGTTCTCCCTCTTGGGGAGACCATAGAGTGGCACCCCTCCTACGTGCAATGGAGGTCACCAACTCTAGGCCATGGACCTTCCTGATCACCCATCGACCTTGTCCAGGTAAGTATGTTTCAACTCCCTCCTTCACCATTTTTATACCCAATCTTCTCATCCTCACTCTTTGCTCTCAGCCGATGTGGGATTTGTTGAAACACCGAAACAACAGAATCAATCAGCTATGAATAAAATGCAACCAATTGTTACATACAAAATTTGTCAACTACCCTTTACTCATAGTGAACCCGAAGATACCGTAATGGAACTGAAGGCCAAAATCTCGACAGGAATATAGTGACTCTGATTTAAAATCTTGAGTTTTGCACTAGTGGGACGACAAAATCGAATGAACTTGTCACCAGAATCTCCACAGATCCTTGAATGGAGGAACGTAGTTTTCTGTGGGAGGGAGAAGGTGAAATGAAGCTACTGTTTTTTGTAAGATAGGCCCCACCTGCATCACATAACATGAACATCAGTATAATCTGGAAGCAGAAGATATAAACATCAACAAAATTCAATGGTGAGAGAGAGAGAGAGAGATTTACTATGTTCCACTGCTTATTGAGGGTTGAAGCATTAATAGAGTACAGGTAACCTGCAATCGAGTTTTCGCACGATTCAATGAGAGGTTTTAAATTGTATTATTATCTACTTTTTTAGCCAAATGGCATCGCCTCCGGCCTCCCCCTTAAGAATGCATAATCCGTGGTCCGCTGGAGGATGAGAAAAGAGAATGACATGAAAATCATACGTTTTGCACTAGAAACATTTTTCCTACCATCTCGTTCGGTTGTTGAGGCCACATAGTGTCTATAATTGGTAGATTCGTCAGCCTGCACGATTTGTAACTGTTGTAAGAATCATGAAGAAATCAGAACAGTATATCAAATATCTCTCCTCCGAAAACTGATGTTAAAAAAATGCTAACAGTTTTTGTGGGTGCTTTGCGAACAAGGTACTCATAGTACCAGTATGGCTGACCATCAATCTGGGGAAGAACAATGAGCCAAGCTTCATATGCACGTATATGTTACATTGTTACCAAGTAGATTTTAGAATGACGGTTTCAGCCACATAAACCAGAAAAGGAGCAGGAAGCTTACTTCACCAGTGTGTGCATCCAGAACTTGACTCTCAGCCTGACGCTGAGTTGAGGTGACACGCTGCAGAAAACTGTAGCATGTAAGTTCAAAGGACCATCAACTCAACAACTTCCGAGACTCAATATTATGGGACAATATTCTCCCAAATGTCGGTTATGTACATTTGACTGCTCCATCTCGTCCAACCACAATACCCTTTTTTACACACTACTCTACTCAAAACAATTGAAGGTAAATCGGCAACACTAATTTTTACTAATCAGCCTTAGAACCAAATGCTTTTAGATCAGATCCGAGTGGTACATTACCAATGCAGACTTGTCAGCCAAAACAGAATCAGCAACCTCTTTTGCAGTCCATGTACTCTTGTCTTGTGATTTTATAATCTTTGAATTCGGGGGACCTATCTGAATCAAAGGAAATTCAATTATAAACCTTGCAATGTAACTAAGGGAATTTGCATTTAACGAGTAGTGATCTTATCAGGAGTTACCGAAATAGAAATGATGAGATTATCAACAATGTCAACACGCTCAGAAACAATGCGCAGGCGCGCATCAGCTGCATAATATATAACACAGTGCCCAGTGAGTATGAATATGTTCGACGTCCATGGCCATTACCATAACACGGATACAGATATATGGTGATCATCATTCTACATATGAAGCTGAACTTACGAGATAATGGTGCAGCTGATGAATAACGCTCTGGCTTTCTCGATTCCACCCTTGAAACAGATGAAAAGAGTCAGGTTCCTACAATTTATACGCCAACGATAATTGCGAAGAACTCAACTAGTTTGCTCACCAAAAGCTAATATCAGCATTTTATTTAAGGGGGCAAAATACATACCACTTGAAGAGGGCCTTCTTGGATGGCAACTCCGTAGGGTATAGATAAGAATATGAATTTATGTCATCAACAAATGAAGCCATTTTCAAGTCTTCCTCTGCAAGGGACACTGCAACATTGGATTTGTTTTGGTAATTATTAATTGCAAAAAAAAAAAAAAAATATAAATGTATCACAACAATACATTTTCAAATAAATAAATGAAATGAAGATAAATTTTCTTACTTTCTGTTTATTTTCCAGGAAAATAAACCCTACTTTGCCAGCAAAACAAAAGGTCTACACATTTGAGAGGATTGTGGGATCGCGAAACGCGCCTTTGAGCAGGTTTGGTAGAAGAAATTAAACTACTTGGAGAAAGCACTTTCTTGTTTAATAAAAATTTCGACGTGGTTCTAAGAAAAACACTCCTAACGAAAGAGGTTATGAGTAGAAGTGTTTCCTACGTAAGCAGTCCAAAAGCACCCTAAATTATTTTCATTTTTTCCACAAATAACAAAGCAAAAAACCAACCCATGCAACTTCAAAATGGTCACCTGAAGCTGGTAAGACTAGTAAAACTGGAGCAGAAATGCCAAACAGCAGTAACTCTCTCCTGCAAAACCCATCTTGTAAACTAGGTTTTGAGTTCCCACTTGAACTTATTTGTCATTTGTTCAGCTGCTGCATCACAATCCTACTTTGCTCTCTGAATTACCAATAAAAATAATAATTTAGGAAGATAATTATTTTAAAAAAATTACAGAGAAAATAAGTAGATAAATTCAGACATATGAGAAAAAGTACCTGGGAAGGAGATTTGGAGGAAGAAGATGGTTGGAAGGGAAGAGGGAGAGAGAAGGAGAGAGAAGAACTATTGTTCTTTCTTTTGCTTTGCTTTTCCTTCTCTCCTGCCTTCTTCAAGGAGTAGCTAGCTTAGATGAATGAAGCAATCACAAAGCTCACAAGGACTGTGGAAGAGAAAGACTTGCAGATCGCCGCACTCATCAACCAACTAGATGCGCGGCTCGACGTGAAAGTCGACCCAAATGTTGGTCCATTAAAGAAAGAAGTCGACGAAGAAGAGGAGCCTCCAGCGGAGAAAGTCGAAGAGAAGTTGAAGCTAGACCAAGCAACGGCATTCATGGGATCTCTCTCTATCCAGCAACTACAGGAGATGATCGCAAGCACCATCAAGACACAATATGAAGGAAGCTCATATGACTCCGTACTATACTTAAAGCCTTACTCCAAGAAGATTGATGCTTTGAAGATGGCAAAGGGTTATCAGCCCCCAAAATTCATGCAGTTCGATGGAAAAGGCAACCCAAAGCAACATGTCGCCTATTTCATTGAAACTTGCAACAATGCTGGGACAGAGGAAGACTACCTCGTCAAACAGGTTGTGCATTCGCTGAAAAGTAACGCTTTTGACTGGTAAATCAACCTCGAACCCGAGTCTATCAACAGTTGAGATCAGTTAGAAAGGGAATTCCTCAACTGCTTTTACAGCACTCGCCGCACTGTAAGCATGATAGAGCTGACCAGTACGAAACAATGGAAGGATGAACCTGTCGTCGACTACATCAATAGATGGCGCTCCTTAAGTTTGGATTACAAAGATCGGCTTTCTGAAACCTCCGCCATTAAGCTGTGCGTTTAAGGCATGCACTGGGGGTTACATTACATCCTCCAAGGCATAAAACCGAGAACATTTGAGGAACTGGAAACTCGTTCCCACGACATGGAGCTGAGTATAGCCAATCATGGGAAGAAAGAGCCAATTACTAGCTTCAAGAAGGATAAAGTGTTCGCCCCAAATGTAGACAAGATTGGGAAGAAGCCTGCCAATGAAGCTTTCACTGTTAACACTACCCCCATCAAGACCTCCTTAGCGCCCATCAAGATCTCCTCTAAGAAGAAAGCAAAGGAGATAAAGAAAGGTGAGCCCTTTCGCACCTAAGACAGGTACAAAAGCACATTGAAGGAGCTGGAACAAAAACGTACCTTTTTCCTGACTCTGACATGTCTGCAATGTTAGACGACTTGTTGGAAAAAAAAGGTGATCGAGCAACTCGAATGCAAGCGTCCTGAAGAGATTAATCGCATAAACGATCATAGGTACTGCAAGTACCATCGTATTGTGAGCCATCTTGTTGGCAAGTGCTTTGTTCTTAAAAAACTCATCATAAAGCTAGCACAACAAGGGCAAATTGAGCTTGACCTTGAAGACACGGCCGCAACACATACCACTACAATTACGTTTGGATCGTTCGATCCCGTGCCTCTCCAAGTGACACCTGACCATTCCCATGAATGCTCAAGCTGCATGACACCTCATGCACAACCATCACCGGGGGAAGCGACCAAAATGCATATACCGATGATGATGAAGGATGGACATTGGTAACCTACAAAAAGACAAGGAAGCCAAAACCACGAGTCATATAGCCAAAGGTGGAACAAAGAAGAAATCACCACCGCTGCAACAATGGGAAGCCTAAAAGAAACATAAATGATGATAAGACAACATATGCTGGGGAACCTATGGAGCAGGAGCCACGCATTCCCATTTCCTTGCACGAGTACTTCCCGAATGACTTTTTCCAACAGTGCACTACCGTCGCCTGTCACATGGTTGAAGTAGAAATAAAAGAGCCCTCAAAAGGCAAAGCTATCGCCACTGAGGTAGAAAAGACCCTCGTACTCAAAAAAGGTCTACCAACACACTTTAGCATCGAGGAAGCGCTACAATTGCCAAAAAAGATACGAAGAGCACTAGCAGTAGTCTTGGCAAGTCCTAGCGACCACGAAGTGCAAGAAAGTAATGACGAAGGCTTGAAGCTTCAGCCACATGAATGTGCCACATATTGTGCCGCCCATGACGCAATCAACTTCACTGATGAAGACCTACTGCTAGGATCAAAGCCTCACAACCATTTTCTCTTCATCTCGGGGTACGTAAGGGAACACAAAGTCAACTGCATGCTTGTGGATGGTGGATCGGCCATAAACATCATGCCAAAATCAACAATGATCACAATCGGCATCAAGGTAGATGAACTATCCCTGAGTTGTCTGCTGATCCAGGGTTTTAACCAAGGAGGACAAAGGGCGATGGACATGATCCGAGTAGAGATGACCACTGGTGAGCTCATATCAAGCATAATATTCCTCGCGATTGATGCAAGAACTTTCTACAACTTGCTCCTAGGAAGACCTTGGATCCACGCAAATAGGGTAATACCGTCCACCCTTCACCAATGCTTAAAATTTTACCGAGAAGGAGTGAAGGTGATCCAAGGCGATACCAAGCCATTCACTGAAGCCGAATCACACTTTGCAGACGCCAAGTTCTATATGGATGAAGACATGGTACCCGAAACTCTTCCAGAAGAGATCAAATCCACGGGCAAAATAGCAGCTAAAAAGCAGAAGTGGCAAGCCATGCCTAAAAAGCAAAAAGAGCAAGTCGTGCCATCTTCAAGCAAAGACGATGACGAGTTTGCTGAACCTGCAACAACCAAAGAGAGTAGGATGCCTTCAAAAGGACCGAACACACCCATATTCCGGTACATCCCAATGTCAAGAAGAAAGAATGGTCAATCTCTATTCGAAACCGGAGCAAGAAAAGTCGATACACAATGGCACAAGGATAATGTGAAGTTGCTTAAGACGAATGTAGTTTTGCCTCTGACATAGCTAGAGGGTGCTAAGGTCGCAAGACTACCACAAGGCTTCATAAAAGCTCAACCAAAGGAGGTGGAATCAAGCTTTCTTCCAACCAAGAAGACCGAGGAAGGTTTAAACCCAAATGCCTACAAACTCATGTCGAAGGCTGGGTACGACTTCGTTTCCTTTTCTACTCTTGGAAAGAAGGTTTCAAACACCGTTAACGACAAAGAACGTAACCTCACTAAGACTCAAAAGAAGTTGAAGGAGCATGGTTACGGAGTTGACAACAACAAAGCTGGACTTGGCTTCACACCAAATGCACCTGTGATGATTTCAAACAAAGCGACAAAACACTAACGCTCAGTACGTCAGCGTGAGCATTGAACAAGACCAAGAAGAGCCCAAACCCGCCCCTCAGATGTCAGCCTTCGATAGAATGAGACGTTCAAGCCCCAGAATTTCAATGATTAATCACATTGGTGGTCAAGACCGAACCTCCGTCTTCAATAGGCTTAACGCGCCAACATCCCAAAGCTCTGTTTTCGAAAAGTTGTTAAAGCCTAAGAAACAAAGCAACACAGCTAGCTCTCCTCTGCGACGGTCAGCTTTGGAAAGATTTGAAGATAATGAGAAGCCTTCTAGAAAGAGGAAGACAACACCAAAGGAAGAAAAGATCGATGGGTTAGCAGAAAAAGGCGAAGTTCGAAGCTTGATCCCTTCAAGGATGAAGCGCTAAGCAATCTTAGAGGTTAACATAAATGGACCATTGAAAGTAAGAAGGCGCATTATCATCCACATCGGACAATCCTCATGCCAACAAGCTCGAGAGGACAACACTGAAGAGGAGGTCCAAGATGTCTTCCACATCATGATTCAAGAAGGCAAAAAAGACAAAATTCCCGAGGAAGATGTCACTGCTGCATCACCACAACTCGAAGATTGGGGGCAAGCCACGGTTGATAACCTCAAGGAACTTAATTTAGGCACAAACAAGGAACCAAAGCCTATCTTCGTAAGTGCATTATTAAGTACGGACGAGATAGAGGAGTATTACCAGCTGCTATTAGAGTACAAAGACGTCTTTGCTTGGACCTACAAAGAAATGCCTGGCTTGAACCCTATCATCGTTGTGCATCATCTTGCAGTCAAGCCTGGAACGTGACCGATAAAGCAAACTCAAAGACGCTATCGATCTGAGCTCATCCCACAAATCAAGGTCGAGATCGACAAGCTAATTGAAACAGGCTTTATTTGAAAAGTGCAATACCCTAAGTGGATCTCCAACATCGTCATTATCCTTAAGAAATCAGGACAAATATGTGTTTGTGTAGACTTCCGGGACCTCAACGATGCTTGCCCGAAGGACGACTTCCCCTTGCCAATCATTGAAATCATGGTAATGAGGCATTGTCATTCATGGATGACTCTTCTGGGTATAATCAAATTCGCATGGCCTTCAAAGACGAGAAACTAATAGCCTTTCGCACTCCAAAAGGTATCTACTGCTACAAGGTGATGCCCTTTGGTCTAAAGAATGTTGAAGCTACGTATCAATGCGCAATGTAGAAAATCTTCAATGACATGCTACACAAAAACATAGAATGTTACATAGATGATTTGGTGGTCAAGACAAAGAAAAGATCAGATCACTTGAAGGATTTGCGAATAGTGTTCGAAGGGTTGCGAAAATACAACCTTAAGATGAACCCATTAAAATGTGCGTTTGGCGTCACCTTTGGAAAATTCCTCGGCTTCATCATCAAGCACTATGGTATTGAAGTGGACCAATCAAAGATCAAGGCCATTCAAAGCATGCCCGAGCCAAGAAACCTGCACGAGCTGAAAAGTTTACAAGGACGGCTAGCCTTCATCAGA